GATATGGACTAATATGAGAAGTAATTTTAATAGAAAATGCCAGTATCATTTATGAATTAATCATAAGATGGTTGTGAAACAAGCATGCCAAGGAAAAGCATTGTACGTTAGAGGAAACAAAGGCCCTTGGCTGCTGGCCAAGCCTTAGCAAGAGTCAGTTATAACATTGGGTACTGCAAGGGAGGAATGGGCGTGGCTCCAGGCAGACTCTGGAGATAGGAGTCTACCAAGGGTATGGCCAAATGAGTCAGGACATCAGGCTACACCTTCCCTGTGCCATGTAGCATGGGCTGGCCTTAAGTCCTTCATACTCCTGCACACTGGGATTATAGACATGCACCAACAAGCCTGTCTTGTTTTAGTTTTTATCTTAGAAAATAAAGATTGAGGTTGAAGATTATTTTCTAATAAAATGTTACTTTTCTAGGATCTAATATGTCAAAAATATTATTAGCACATAAAAACTGTACCAGATAACAACTGACGAACCAATGGAAAGGTAAAGAGAAAAGTATATAGAATTCTGCAGAACGGGCTTTGAGATGTTGGTGGGGGCATCAGCTCTTTACCGAAGACAAAGTGGACGCTGACTTCCTGAACACCAGAGGGAGGGACAGTGTGCTTCAGTGGATAAGCAGATGGTTGAGATAAGACTACGTATCTGCTCTCTCTCTCTCTCTCTCTCTCTCTCTCTCTCTCTCTGTCTGTCTCTCTCCCTCCCCCTCCCCTCTCTCTCTGAGTATGTATCTCTATGTGTGAACATGTGTGTATATGTGCATAAAAATCCATGACAAATAAAATGAAGGTCAGAATTCACACACACATTATGATAGTTTATCTCATCCTCATCCTTGAAAAAGAATTGCCTTTTTTTTTTTTAAACAGGTAATGACTAAGTTTCTGTCACAGTGAATTTCCTAGATCCTTAATGGCGAACAGTGTTAAGCTGACTGGAACACAGCTGTGGTGTATGACAGAGGAGTGAATGTACATGATGACATTTATGGTAGTAATAAGCACACACATAGGCTTTAGCAGCATCTGCTATCACCCTGGTTTTTATGCTGAGAAAATGGAGGCACAGAACGTCCAGGATGCTGGTTGAGGTCACACAGCTGCTAAGTAGGCAAATCCTACAAGCTTTCTGAAATCTGCTAATCATCTAATGTGTGGAGAGAGGACCCAAGTTGTACTTTGCAAATGACCTTCTGGATCATTGCGCTCTCTCATGCCTCATTAACTCCGCCAAATCCTGTGCAATTTAAAAACTATCCAAATTTTCCCAAATCAAACAATTTCAAAGTATCATCAGTTGGCAATCATGCCACTTGGGAGCTCTCTGGGAGGCCAGCAACTAACTGACTTCCCATAAATGCATCTCTTCAACATTCCATTGTTTCAGCTCATTAATTATTTCATTTGGTACCTCACAGTGAAGTTGGAAAGAACAGGTACTCTCTCTGTACAGATCAGGTAGCTCTAACTGATAAGCCTCCAATACCCATGTTTCTTGACTTCCCCAAAACATCTTGATTTCATAAAAATCTTATCATTTTATCTCATAAATTAGCAATCAAAATTTCCTGTAAATCTTAATATTTGTGTTAGAAGAAGTCATCCTCACGGCAGAAAGAAGTGAAATCTCTTTTTCCTAACCAAGTGTTTTCACTGATTTCAAGGTATAGTTGCCATGGCTCTGTAGGATCCACTAGCCTTCAACTGGGCCTCAAAACAGTGCAAAGAACAGAAAGAAACAGGCACGAAGGCTAATGACCCCATTTAGATGTAGGGAAGATAAAAGAAGGGTAGGAATAAAAACAGCATCCTTTGGAGACAGCTCAATGGGTACCTTTCTTGTAAATGTGAAGACCCATGCTCAATACCCAGGACTCATGATAATCTGGGCTTGGTACAGTTCTAGTGTAATTCCAGTGCTGGAAAATTAGGAAAAGGCAGTTTCTGTGCTCACTGGCTCAGTAGTCCAGCCTAATTACCATTGAGGTGACCCATTCAGAGACTCTGTCTTTGTATACGAGGTGTGCAGTTTCTAAGGAATGATACCTGAAATTGACCTCTATTCTTCCACAGGCAAGCATACATACACATGTGCACCCTCACACACATATATGTATACACACATACATTCACACAATGCAGTACTTCGGAGTGAAATATATAATACACTTTTAAGCAATGTCAGTTTCCAGGCAATGTTTTTGTAAACTTCACATTTATCATTCTTGCTAATAACAGCTGCCACTCATTCTTACAAGCTCACCTCTCATCTAGATGAGACACTGAGCCCAGGGATGTCTTTATTTGTGTCTGTCTGCTGCTGAGCTGGGCTTGCTTGCCAGAGTGTAATGTTCTATGGAATATTTTGCTTACAGCCATTTTGTAATAAATAGGTGCTTTGGGTTATACTTCCTGCTCATCTTTCTGCTGTTTATGGTCCCCTTGAACACTTTGCAGGCTCTGTTAGTTTAGAAATAATTGTTGTGTTTGACTATTCTCCATTAGATAAGATAGTTTCTTTAAAAGCAATGAAGAAGGGGCTGCGAATGTGATAGTGGGTAGAGAGCTGGCCTTGCATGCAGGAGACCCTGGCTTCAATCCCAGCACTGCATAGATGTGGTGGCTTATGTCAGCTATCCCATAACATGAAGAGTGAAGGCTAGAGGACCAGACATTCAGGACAACCTTGGCTAAACAGCAGGTTCGAGGGCAGCCTAAGATACTTGAGACTCCATCTCAAAACAAAACAACAAAAACAAAAGGAAAATAAAGAAAGAAAGGAGGAAAGGAAGGAAGGAAGGAAGGAAGGAAGGAAGGAAGAAAGAAAGAAAGAAAGAAAGAAAGAAAGAAAGAAAGAAAGAAAGAAATTAATTTAAAGAGAGTAAAAAAAAATCCACTATCATAACAAAGAGTATGAAGGAAACTTGATCTGTTTCTTATGGGAAAAGAATATGGGCTGAGGATGTGGCTTCACAATGGAACATTTTCCTGGTATATACAAGGTCCTGTGTTTAATTATTCACCGCACAATTAAGGAAAACCCACAGTTGGATGCAGCATATGGAATGACCAGGTTAGGAAACTACTTGTAAAGAACTAGATCCTAGCAGAGTGTGGGTCCCATGGCTTCAACTCAGCACTTGGGAGGTAGAAGCAGGAGGATCTCAGTGAATCCAAGGCCAGCCAGGTCTATAGCAAGTTTCAGGACATCCAGGAATACCTAGGCTATCCTGTCTCAAAACAAACAAACAAAATACAAATGAACAACAGAAGAGTCACAGCTAGATCCTAGAACACATTCTTGCTTCTAAAGTTGTAAAACTCAAGATTTGTGCCAGACTAGATCTGGCCTCACCACAGACTAATGATGAATGAGTTTTCTTAGCCCATATTCTCCCTTTCTTTCCTTATGAATAAAAGTGACCATGAACATCTCATCTCTGTTTTCATGCTGGGTGTTTGGGGTGTCCTTTGGGCATATAAACAATCTTTTAAACGCATGTGTTTCCAAAGCAAGAGAATCCCACATGCAGAGCCATGAGGCTCTCATGCCACAGATTTAATTACATTTGAGGATGTACTGATTTGTATTTTGTATGTAGAAGAGAGTAAATTGCTGTGGTCAGAAAGTAGTCTGTGTTGTACCATTTTCAAAGACAGTAACCAACTGGTACACTCAGTTCCTGGATGTGTCTCCTCTTATCTTGTGTACGTGACTTCCTTAAACCAATGAAATACAATAAATGGATGCCACATTCTGGAATACCAGATATCAAGCTAACAGGCCTCTGAGCTTCTGCTCTTCTTTGATGGATCCAACCACAATATAAAGAACTCAAGTTCATTTACAGAATTCTAAGAGAGAACTAGCAAGAGACCCAGCCACTCCACACATTTCAGAATTCTCAGTTGAGATGCTGAATATATTCCATTCAATCTGGCTCCTCTGGCCTCAGGTAATCCATCCCCCCAATCACTGCATAGATTATTGTCTGCCAAACCCTGCCTCAAACCACAAGTAAGCAAATGATCTTTGTTTTCCCAGTTACTAAGTTGTGGATGATACATTATGTAGCAATAAAACCTGAAACATATACTTAAAATGGTAGAAGTGGGAACATGTTGAACACAATATACTTTTAATACGTTTACTCAAAGTCTTCAGTATGACTGTTATGGTTTTGTTTGTTTTTACTTATTTTCTGATAACTATAAAATAGTCAAAGTGGTATAATTGGATGAATAACATATTTCAAGATCACAGTCAAAAGTGATGATAAGGTTTGTCAATATGACTTGTATGCAAAGAAACAAAACTTCTTTGACCCAGAACCCATACAGGACATTTAAATATAGGTCAGTATTCATATACATGGATAGGAGCTCAATGTAAATCATTATAGCTAACCAGTATAAAGAAAAAGACATTAAAGTTGCAAGGATATTTTTCATTTTTCCTTCTGAGTATTTAATTCAGAAATCACCTTTTCTTATCTACACAAAAGTGACAGAGTCAAAAATATAACTATCCTGAGAAGTTTGACTTCATTATTTTAAAAAGTTAGTTCAGAGACATGAAGATGAATTGTATAACACAATTGGACCAAATACACATCTCAGAAGGCAGATAGATGTGTAAGCCCACAAACTACACAACACAGAATTCTAGGCCATGCTGTACGAAGGTGTTATGATGTGGGTAGCATCCTCAAAGCCATGCTGCTTGGTAGCACTGTACACAGAGCCTCTTGTAGACAAAGATGGAACATGATCTTGCCCTGAACAAACATGGATGATCACAGTAGTGGAATGACACATGATTAACAATGGAACAGTTCTATAAATGCATAAACACATAACTGTTCATGTGCTCATGGGGGAGATGGGATTTGTAAACTGAGCTGCTCTGGTCTTGTTGAGGGTAAGGACAGTAAGGAGTGTAAAGTGCACATAAAACCATCACAAGCATAGAGAATGTGGCTTACCTGACATGCTGATGGATGGGTGTGGTTGAGGTCCCAATGGGAAGACACTATGTCAACAGACTTTTTGGCCATGTTGAGTAAGTTCATCCAGCCTTGGAAAAGCGGTAAGTGAAATGGGGCATCTTCAGAGTAGTTAAGGCCTTCAGGAATGTTTTCCACAAGAGCAATTCTTAAAAAAGATTTTGAAAACAAACAAAAACTTGTCAAATTTGAAGCCATTGATCTTATCACCTGCATTCAGAGAAACATGGAAAGTGATCTTTAAGTTTTTCAGTTATATATATATTTCTAAAAATTTCTGTTTGTCTACCAAATTCCGCTTACACATTCTGTACCCTAACCTGAGGTGTTTTGAAAGTTGATGTTATTTTTCTTTAGTTAGCATTCACTTGTATTTCAGAAAAATCTAGCACATGCCATTGATGTGTTTTAAATTCATCTTGAAAATGAAAATATAGCAGTGCTTCCTATGAACGAATTTTCTTCTTCAGAATCATGCTCCTAATGTTTCCCCTGGCACAATCCAATTCTTTTATAATATGCCACTTCTGAAAGCTGTTTGAGAGCATGAATTAAATTTTTCATATCATCAGTATCTAATACAATGTTGGATCTATTAGAATTCAATAAATGTAGTTATTATGGCTTAACTCTCCTCTAGGTGCCTCCCAGCTCAAGGAGAAAAGCAATACCAAGAAGGAAGTTATAAAACTTAGAACTGCCTTAAAGTCAGAGGTAAAAAAATATAAAATAGCTAGGTGGTAATGGTGCCCACCTCTATTCCCAGCACTTGGGAGGCAGAGGCAAAGGCAGGTGGATCTCTGTGACTTTAAGGACAGCCTGGTGTATAGAGCAAGTTCCAGAAAAGCCAGGGCTATACAGATAAATACGGTGTAGAACCTCCCACTAAAAAAGAATATGTAAAATGATGGTAATAATTATAACTTAGATAAATCAACAACATCCTGGAGTTCTTTGTGCTTGTATATTTCTAATATAATGGTAACATGTCTATCATGGACACCTCCCTTTGGTACTACACTTCAAACTGTTTCCGACTATTGATTTAGGTGACATACATTTTTTTGGTTGTTGTTCATTTGTAAGATTGCATTTATAATTGCTATATTTCTCCCTCCCTCTCTCTCCCTTCAAGCCCTCCCCTATACCTCTCCCCGTTCTTCTTCAAATTTATGGCCCCTTATTTTTCATCAGTTGTTATTGCAGACACATAGATTCTTAATGAAAGGATAAAAAATTTGTTTCCAGTTTACTAAATGTACATTCTTCTGTAAATGAAGAATGAAATTATGTGTTAAATACTTCCATCACAATGATCTGATTTAGTCACAGTTGAATGCCCAGAGACAGGCAGATAGTTCAGTGCTGGAATGGAGCTCAGTGGTAGATCATATCCTTATCATGCATGAGGTCATGGGTTTGAATCTTAGTACACACACACACACACACACACACTTCTATAATCAGAACTCAGTAAATGATTATCAAATGAGTTTTAGCTTTCACCACACAATTTAGCATTTCTTAGTAGAATTATAAACTGGTACTCTTTTTGAAACTTTAGCCTGAATCAGAAATAAAAAAAAAATATTGCAAAAACAAATTCATGAGGGATGAATCTGGAATGGCAGAGCTAGACTAAGATTTGAATTCATGGCCCAAGACATTCTCCGTGTTAGAGAGCTATTACTCTATGTGTACCTATAAAGTCACTAATGTTTATTGATTCCCTAGTAGGAAAGGACAATCAAGTTACAACATGTAACACAGAAGTGACTGTTAACAGCCTCCTTGGCCCTGAGAAATTTACAACTGATAGAAAGCTTGTCCCAGACACATTGACTTGAGTAGGAAGCACACTGTGGTGAGATGGTGATGGATAAGAATTGATTGGAACACTGGCAAAGAGGAAAATGATAATTCTGACCAGGATACCTGGAATTGGAGGAGACTGGGTCTGACATGAATCTGAGACATGGGAGCCCTGAGGTGTAAGCCAGAAGATGAAGGTGCTCAGAGTTGAGGGAAATGTTTAGTATATCTGGATATTTTTGAGTTGGTGAACCAAGAAGTAAGTGAGGTAGGAAAGTGAGGCAGCAGCTCATGAGGTGGAGGAGACCAGAAACATCCATAGAGCCAATCGCATGAAGACTGTGGACAAAGGGAGGAGTTTGGACAAGGTTTTGATGCATTTGGCAACAAGTGAATGTATTTCTGAGAGCTAACTCTGCCAGTACACCTGCATGTAACTTGAAGGGAGACATGGGGGATTAGTTGTTGACTAGGAAAGGGTAGAGAAGGTTGGAATAGTTCTGGCAAGAAAAACAGGGACTTTGCATTAAATACATGGGGATAAAAAGCATGCAGCAGGCATTTTAGAAGCCGTATCTTAAATATGTTGTGGTATTATGAGTACAAGAACGTGTAAATGAGAACCAGACAGAACACATGGACTCTGATTTTCCTGAAGGGATAGCATGTTGACTCTGAGCTGGCTCTAGAGTCACTATCAATGGTCTCCTTACAGAGACTTGTGCTCTTTTTCAAACCATTTTTTTTCTCATGGTGGAACTAAGAAAGGGCTCTCAATTTGAACTTGCTTTTGATGGTTTCCACTGGCCTTAGGCTGCTTCCACCCCCTACCCACACTGAGGATGGCACATATTTTCACTCTACATGATTCTCTGCAGCTCCATGAGACTCAAATGACTTCTCTGAGGATTCAACCACCGTAGCATCTTTCTTTTCATTTGCTGCTCTTCTCTCTAGTCTCTAATGCAGCAAGTACACCCCCATGTCCCAATTCCTATACTAGCCATGCATGATCTCTTAAACTTTCTAATTTCCAATTTAAACATCATTTCTCTATAGGCTCCTCTATGACCACAACATAGGTGACATTTCTTTATTATAAGTGTCCAAGGTAACATGTTCTTCCCCTGTCATCCTATGCATTACTCTCAAAATTTCCATGTCGAAGGTTGTTTTTCTAGATTGCAGTATGTGTGTCTGTGTGTGTGTGTGTGTGTGTGCGCGCGTGTGTGTATCTGTGACTGTATGTTATGTGTGTGCATGCATGTGTGCATTCCTGTGTGTTGTTGTTGTAGTATATTGTTGTGTGTGTGTATGTGTATATGTGTTGTGTGTATGCTATGCATCTGTGTTTGTATGTGTTATGTATGCACATCTGTGTTTGTATTTGTGTATGTATGCATCTGTGCCCATGTATCTGTGTATGTGCATGTGTGTGCATGTATGTGTGCATCTGTATGTATATGTGCATCTCTGTGTATATGCATCTGTGTTGTGTAGTGCAATGTTGTGTATATGTATGTTATGTTTTATGTGTGTTTGTTGTATATGTGCATCTGTGTTTGTGTGTATGTCTCTGTGTATGTTGTGTGTATATTTGTGTCTCTGTGAGTGTGACTATGTGTCCGTGTGTATGTATGAAACAAAGAACATGTTTATTTGGTCCAGGTTTACATCCCCAGTACCTAACACACTGTGCAGAAGGTGCCCAACAAATCTGTAAACCATCTTTCAATAAAATCTGAACATCTGGATATGGATGGTGATTGGTTCAGTTAAAGATAATAAGAAACTTGAAATAGAAGGTAAAATGAAACTTGACGTGGTTACAAAGGTAGAAAACATGAAGAGAAAACTACCCTAAAGTCTGATGTAAAAGTCATGCCTGTTTTTATGGTTGGTAGAATGAGAAGCCAATGAGAAGATTCAGGGGGACCATTCATGAAGGGAGCCAAGCCAGATTCAGGAGAAATGAGTGTTTTGGAAGTCAGGGTGAGTGAGGGTTAAAAGTTGCCTACTCCCAAACACACAGAGGCAGTAAACAGTGGCTCAAAGTAGATATTTTAATTCCATCCACATGTGAACTCCAATTATCTGTTAGAAGGTAGACAGAGTGGGAATAAACGATTCAAGATCATCAGCGGTTTCTGGATCCTGACAAGCAACTCACATTTAAAAACCATACAACAAGCAGTAAAGCATCCCCCATCAATCTGAAAACACAATTGAAGGTTATAGAACGATGGTACAATTGTAAATCAATTTACACCAAGCCATTCTTTCAAGGGTGCCATGTGGTCTCTACTGAGCATATAAATAAGTCAGGATCCCTCATCTTATTTGGAAATCCTGGTATTCTTTTCACTGAATCTATATAGAATTCATGGATTATTTATAAACTTGGATTTTGAAATTTTTATTTTGCTTAGTCTCTAATTCAAATCCAGCATTCTGATCATTCCCAACACAGCAAATAAAGCAGAGAAATTTTAGCAGAAATTTTAGTGTCACTATTAGGAGGTGTGGCTTTGTTGGAATAGATGTAGCCTTGTTGGAAGAAGCCTGTCACTGTGTAGGTAGGCTTTGGAAGAGAGTCTCCTTCTGGTTGCTTTTGGATCAAGATGTAGATGTCTTGGCTCCTCCAGCACCATGTCTGTCTGCATACTGCCATGCTTCCTACCATTACGATAATGGACTAAACCTCTGAAACTTTAGGCCAGTTCTCTAATCGGTTTCCTCATAAGAGTTACCATGGTTATTGGGTCTCTTTACAGCAATGAAACCCCTAAGACAATAGACCACTGCGTTCCATGATCTTCCCAAAGGCAGTCTGGAGTGAATTCTTACCAAGAACTAGTGTCTTAACCACATGGCAACTTTTCATTACTGTCAAGATGATATGGATATTGAACCTATAATTTAGCATGTAAAAAATGGGTTACATTAGAATCTCCTACCTAGAGGAAGAAAACAAAAGACAACTGGGACCAATCCAGACCTGAAGACAGAATCACTCATGACTGAAATGTTACTGGTGAAGTTTAATTCTTTGAAAACATTGACTCTAACACAACTCCAGATAAATTACACTTGAAGAACATTTAATGGTTCATGATATCATCTCTAGTGCAAGTATAAGGGTGTTACATTCCAACAAGTAAAGATGGACCCTCACATGTTTAGACTGCCCTAGTACTGCACCTTCAATGCACTGTGTCACGGAGCTTTAGCCAACAAAGCTCCTTTAAGGATGACTGGGCATAGCTCTAAAGAATAATGGAAGTGTGTGATGCAGATGGCCACTCCTATTTCATACTTCAGAGTAGCTCCTGCACA